TCGATTTTAAAAGTACAATTACATATTTCACATGAGCCTCTAGAAAACAGCTGTATATGATTAAGACAAGCACTAAATACCAGTTTTTAGCGCAATTTCCATTCTGGAGAATTGCGTTTATTAACTCGTCATTTCTGGGAATGGATGGATGGATGGATGAATGAATGTATGGATGAATGTGTGTCCGGGCTTTAAGTCGTATCTCCTCCTCAACGAAGCAATATCGATGACTAGTTTCAAAAGCAATTATGTTAAGCAAGTTACGAGAATGAGCATAGGCCATAAAAATTCCGGGTTTCTTTCATGTATTTCCCGTAAAAGCCAAAAAACCTCGAAAAAATGCAGTTTTTGGCCCATATCTCGGCAACCAGACCACTTAGCGACTTGAAACATGTACCAATCGATTCCTGTCATAATTTAGAACAATATTGCCGAAGAAAGTTTTCAAAAATATTCTCTCGTTCGGTCACACATTTTAAAATTACATAAACACCTACAAACCGATTGTTCTTCTAGCTTGAACGCACCCCAACATTATACGTCAGAGCTATTTTTAGATAACATAAGGAAATTGCGCACAAATGTCACTAGACTTTTTTAATTAACTTGTTTTGTTTTAATACAACCCAAAACGAACCAAGAAATTGTCTTCTAGCAGAATTTTATTGAACAAAATAAAGATTTATTTTTATTGAATCGCATATTTTCATCCCTAAATATAGAAATAACTAGGCCTAATTAAAAAAAAACAACAACAATTAAAATGTTTTCCTCGACAGCCCATATAAACAACGTGAATCGAAGTTTGAAAATAGATTTTAATTAAGGCCCAAGGCTGTCGTCTCCAAATATTTTGACAAGCCAGATGTGTTGGCGCTTTTCTGCACTTGACTAATTATCTCCCATTTCCAGTGGACAAAAATTGTATGCTATTATTCCGCTTAACAAAAGCAAGTCTTAATGTTGTTAAACTAAAGCTAGTCTATTTCCACGTCTTATTTATGAAGTTAGTCTTATTTACTTATTTCCAAAGTAAGGCTTGACTTCACTTGATGAAATCACGAGTCCACTTGTCAAATGTTTTAATTCCACTTGACAAAATCTCTACTGTACTTGACAAAACCTCTACTCCACTTGTCAAATGTTTTGATTCTACTTGACAAAATCTCTACTCCACTTGGCAAATTTCATGTTACAACTTGACAAAATCTCTACTCTTCTTTACACTAGTAAGTCCACCCCTAGACTCCACCTATCTTAATGTCTAAACCTGCCCTTACTCCGTCTAGTCATTACCAACTGCAGCAAACATGTCAATAACTGTACCATGTTGATGGTGGCTTCCGGTGGGGTGGTGGGGTGGGGTGGTAGGTTTTCGCACCAAGTTTATCCTGACCTTAGAACACAGTTAATGACTCTATTATTATAGTTCTCCTGATGCTGCTTGTACAAAAGAGAAAAAAAAATCTCAACACATGTATGTACGATTGATCTATCTGTCGGAATGTTGGTAGCGTTATCTAAATGTTCCTTCCTATTAAAAATGTATGTCACGTTGATCTGGGTGTTGACATACTAAAGACAGAATTTTTAAAATCAATACACGTCGTCATATTGATTTATTTTTCTTGGTATGTTGGTAACACTGAAACTTTTCTTGGTATGTTGGTAACACTGAAACTTTTCTTGGTATGTTGATAACACTGAAACAAATATGGATGTCACTGGTAACGATTATTACAACGTTACCATAGTACGATGTCAGCATTTTAAGTCAGGTTTGACATTGTTGACATCTCACTGTCAGTATTTTGATGTCAGGTTTTAGCTATGTGTCAGACAGAGCCCTCGCCATTAGGTTTCATGTTACTCTCTCGTCTCCTTCTCCTACATCTCCCGTCTACATCTCCCCTCTATATCTCTTCTCCTCCTAAATCTCCCCTTTACCTCTCCCCTCTACCTCTCCCCTCCTCCTAAATCGCCCCTTTACCTCTCCCCACTACCTCTCCCCTCCTCCTAAATCTCCCCTCCTTCATCTCCCCTCTACCTCTCCCCTCCTAAATCGCCCCTCCCACCTCCAGGGGCGTAGCGAGGGGGGGGGGGGCGGGGGGTGCGGACAGCACCGGGTGACACCATTTAGAGGGGTGACACCAAGGCAAAAAGTAGCAAAATATATAGAGAAAAACTTGAGGGGGGGTGCAAATCGAAAGTTTGAGGGGGGGGGGTGCAAATCGAAAACTTGAAAGTTTGTCCCCGGGAAGGGTCGCTACGCCTCTGGTGACACCCGACCTCGCTACGCCACTGCGCACCTCTCACCTGCTACCTCTTTCCCCATCTCCTACCTCTCCTCTCCCCTCCTCCTTTCTCTCCCCTCTACCTCTCCCCTCTACCTCTCCCCTCCTAAATCTTCCCTCCCACCTCTACCCTCCTCCTTTCTCTCCCCTCCTCCTACCTCTATCCACTCCCCTCCTCCTCTCACCCCTCTCACCCCCCCCCGTATGAAAACCAACCCAACGATACAATCTACTGTTTCACAGACACAACTCCAGTCTGACCTTGACATTTTGGGTCGATTGACTTGAGAATAGTTTTTAGTTACGGTTGTAACATTAGTCCCAAGGTCACATCATAATGTGGCATTAGTTTTATTTGTTACAACGTATGCTAATACATGCTCTTTATATGATCAATGTTGACGTGTTTACGTAGGTTTATATACGGTCAACAAAATACTCAACATATGTGCTAACGTAATGCACACTATAACGTCGATGCTTATTCCAGCAGTGTTGATCAGATACTTGATTCAGAGAGTTGACAGCAAATGACAGTTGTTGTTGTTTAGTTGCAGTGTAATAAGCAGTGGTGATATGAAGTATATGTGTGTGTGGGGGGGGGGGGGGTAATCTGTTTAAGCGGATTATCAGTTGTCACTTGTATCAGTCACTTTCAGGGTTTAACTTCTGTCAGTCATAGACAGGGTTTAACTGTTGTCTACCGTAGTCAGCGGTTTAATTAACTGTTTGAGCAAGCTAAAAATCATTGCCCATAATTTAGAAGTAAACTCAAGACAATTGTTAAAGTATATATTTTATATACAAAGTATATTGCCCCCCCCCCCATCCCCGCCCCCAAAAGAGATGCCTGAAAGAAACACTGGTTGTCTTCCCATTTCATCTTATCAGATTTCCTGGCACTGTACCTCGTAGGTAAGTTCTCTCCATGCGACATGGTGACACGTCTGTTCCCCGTTAATGTTTCCTGTTTTAATGACCTCCAGGAGAACATTTTAATGGCCATTCGGACTTTAACTCACGTGACACACTGCGACTTTTGAACTGCGGTCGTTATATATTTTTACTCAAGTCGTTTTTGCAGTCATAACTCCAACTGCACCCAATTTAAAATAAAAAATTCACTTTCAACGCTTTGAAAAAAAAGGAAACTGTGTCCTTGTACAAAGCCATTTGGTGATTGAAAAGTAAAAACCCGTTCATCCATCGATCTCATCGAGTAGAATCTCGTCTCCAATTCCCCCTAACAAATATTTTAGCACGAACCTTACTCATAAACTTCTACCATCGCCCTCCCCCCGTCCCCCTCTCCCCTCCCCTACACGTGCGCTTTGATTCACTATTCACTAATTTCACATTAGAACTATCCCACCTTACGAGATAGCCACGCGAAAATCTCGCGTCACAGGCGAGATCCCGTATCTTAAGCGAGATCTCGTATCGCAGACGACATCTCGTATCACGGGCGAGATCCCGTACCATCGATGACCCCTGCGAGCAGGGGTCCGGATCCCCTTGAAATTACCCGGGCTTTCTCGCCGACTCGAGATAGCGGGACTAAAGACTCGACTGATAAGGGGAGTTAAACCTTCCATCAACTTTGAGCAGCGAGTGGATTACAGCCCCTGCCTGTGGAGCACTGGTTCAACACGTCATACTTAGTAGAGGGGCTTGTGGAAACAGAATCATTCGTTTATAGAGGTGGTGTCACGTGGTTAGGGTGTCGGTGATATCACGTGGTTAGGGTGTCGGTGGTATCACGTGGTTAGGGTGTCGGTGATATCACGTGGTTAGGGTGTCGGTGGTGTCACGTGGTTAGGGTGTCGGTGGTGTCACGTGATTAGGGTGTTAGGTGGTGTCACGTGGTTAGGCTGTCGGTGGTGTCAAGTGGGTAGGGTGTCGGTGGTGTCACGTGATTAGGGTGTTAGGTGGTGTCACGTGGTTAGGCTGTCGGTGGTGTCAAGTGGGTAGGGTGTCGGTGGTGTCACGTGATTAGGGTGTTAGGTGGTGTCAAGTGGGTAGGGTGTCGGTGGTGTCAAGTGGGTAGGGTGTCGGTGGTGTCACGTGATTAGGGTGTTAGGTGGTGTCACGTGATTAGGGTGTCGGTGGTGTCACGTGATTAGGGTGTTAGGTGGTGTCAAGTGGGTAGGGTGTCGGTGGTGTCACGTGGTTAGGGTGTTAGGTGGTGTCAAGTGGGTAGGGTGTCGGTGGTGTCACGTGATTAGGGTGTTAGGTGGTGTCAAGTGGGTAGGGTGTCGGTGGTGTCAAGTGGGTAGGGTGTCGGTGGTGTCAAGTGGTTAGGGTGTCAGTGGTGTCACGTGGTTAGGGTGTCAGTGGTGTCACGTGGTTAGGGTGTCGGTGATATCATGGTTAGGGTGTCGGTGGTGTCACGTGGTTAGGGTGTCAGTGGTGTCACGTGGTTAGGGTGTCGGTGATATCATGGTTAGGGTGTCGGTGGTGTCACGTGGTTAGGGTGTCGGTGATATCACGTGGTTAGGGTGTTGGTGATATCATGGTTAGGGTGTCGGTGGTGTCACGTGGTTAGGGTGTTGGTGATATCATGGTTAGGGTGTCGGTGGTGTCACGTGGTTAGGGTGTTGGTGATATCATGGTTAGGGGTAGAGGGTGTCTACACTGTCACGTGGGTGGTGGATACACTCCACCAATAGTGATTCTGGTGGATTATCGCCACTTGTTGTGTTGGAGGTTGTTCCATAACCCCATCATCTACCACCAACCCCATCATCTACCAACCCCAGCATCTACTACCAACCCCAACATCTACCAACCCCAACATCTACCAACCCCATCATCTACCACCAACCCCATCATCTATTGCCAACCCCATCATCTATTACCAACCCCAGCATCTACTACCAACCCCAGCATCTACTACCAACCCCATCATCTACCAACCCCAACATCTACCACCAACCCCAACATCTACCAACCCCAGCATCTACTACCAACCCCAGCATCTACTACCAACCCCATCATCTACCAACCCCAACATCTACCACCAACCCCAACATCTACCAACCCCAACATCTACCACCAACCCCAACATCTACCAACCCCAGCATCTACTACCAACCCCAGCATCTACTACCAACCCCATCATCTACCAACCCCATCATCTACCAACCCCAACATCTACCAACCCCAGCATCTACTACCAACCCCAGCATCTACTACCAACCCCATCATCTACCAACCCCAACATCTACCACCAACCCCAACATCTACCAACCCCAGCATCTACTACCAACCCCAACATCTACCAACCCCAGCCTCTACTACCAACCCCAGCATCTACTACCAACCCCATCATCTACCAACCCCAACATCTACCACCAACCCCAACATCTACCAACCCCAGCATCTACTACCAACCCCAACATCTACCAACCCTATCATCTACTACCAACCCCAGCATCTACCAACCCCAGCATCTACCAACCCCAGCATCTACTACCAACCCCATCATCTACCAACCCCAACATCTACCACCAACCCCAACATCTACCAACCCCATCATCTACTACCAACCCCATCATCTACCACCAACCCCAGCATCTACTACCAACCCCAGCATCTACTACCAACCCCATCATCTACCAACCCCAGCATCTACTACCAACCCCATCATCTACCAACCCCAACATCTACCAACCCCAGCATCTACTACCAACCCTATCATCTACTACCAACCCCAGCATCTACTACCAACCCCATCACCTACTACCAACCCTATCATCTACCACCAACCCCATCATCTACCACCAACCCCATCATCTATTACCAACCCCATCATCTACTGCCAACCCCATCATCTATTACCAACCCCATCATCTACCACCAACCCCATCATCTATTACCAACCCCATCATCATCTACCAACCCCATCATCTACCAACCCCATCATCTACCAACCCCAACATCTACTACCAACCCTATCATCTACCACCAACCCCATCATCTACCAACCCCAACATCTATTACCAACCCCAGCATCTACTACCAACCCCAACATCTACTACCAACCCCATCATCTACCAACCCCAACATCTATTACCAACCCCATCATCTACCACCAACCCCATCATCTACCAACCCCAACATCTATTACCAACCCCATCATCTACTACCAACCCCATCATCTACCACCAACCCCATCATCTACTGCCAACCCCATCATCATCTACCAACCCCATCATCTACCAACCCCATCATCTACCAACCCCAACATCTACTACCAACCCTATCATCTACCACCAACCCCATCATCTACCAACCCCAACATCTATTACCAACCCCAGCATCTACTACCAACCCCAACATCTACTACCAACCCCATCATCTACCAACCCCAACATCTATTACCAACCCCATCATCTACCACCAACCCCATCATCTACTGCCAACCCCATCATCATCTACCAACCCCAGCATCTACTACCAACCCCAACATCTACTACCAACCCCATCATCTACCAACCCCAACATCTATTACCAACCCCATCATCTACCACCAACCCCATCATCTACCACCAACCCCATCATCTACCAACCCCAACATCTATTACCAACCCCATCATCTACCACCAACCCCATCATCTACCAACCCCAACATCTATTACCAACCCCATCATCTACTACCAACCCCATCATCTACTACCAACCCTATCATCTACTGCCAACCCCATCATCATCTACCAACCCCATCATCTACCACCAACCCCATCATCTACCAACCCCAACATCTACTACCAACCCCAACATCTACCAACCCCAACATCTACTACCAACCCCAGCCTCTACTACCAACCCCAGCATCTATTACCAACCCCAGCATCTATTACCAACCCCACATCAACTGCCAACCCTATCATCTACTACCAACCCCAGCCTCTACTGTCAACCCCAACATCTACTGCCAACCCTATCATCTACTACCAACCCCAGCCTCTACTACCAACCCCAGCATCTATTACCAACCCCAACATCTACTACCAACCCCAGCCTCTACTGTCAACCCCAACATCTACTGCCAACCCTATCATCTACTACCAACCCCAGCCTCTACTACCAACCCCAGCATCTATTACCAACCCCAACATCTACTGCCAACCCCAGCATCTACTACCAACCCCAGCCTCTACTGTCAACCCCAACATCTACTGCCAACCCTATCATCTACTACCAACCCCAGCATCTATCACCAACCCCAACATCTATTACCAACCCCAACATCTACTGCCAACCCTATCATCTACTACCAACCCCAGCCTCTACTACCAACCCCAGCATCTATTACCAACCCCAACATCTACTACCAACCCCAGCCTCTACTACCAACCCCAGCATCTATTACCAACCCCAACATCTACTACCAACCCCAGCATCTATTACCAACCCCAACATCTACTACCAACCCCAGCCTCTACTGTCAACCCCATCATCTACCACCAACCCCAACATCTACTACCAACCCCAGCCTCTACTGTCAACCCCAACATCTACTGCCAACCCTATCATCTACTACCAACCCCAGCCTCTACTACCAACCCCAGCATCTATTACCAACCCCAACATCTACTGCCAACCCCAACATCTATTACCAACCCTATCATCTACCACCACCCCAGCCTCTAAACCCAACCCCAGCCAACCCCCAGCGCTGTTAAACAACTGATCATGCCACCAACGTTGAACCTACTTTAACCATCAGCAACAAACGAGAAGAGAAATGTGACACTCCTACATACATCCAGCCCATAAACCACAGCGACATCAAGTATTTCTACACCCGACTGGGATTATATTTCAAATATCTTTTGCAATATTCTAACAGCAATTTGTTTGATTGCTTGCTTTAATAACGTGAACAGACGGAGGATGTTTACATACAAGTAATTTTATAAGGATCACGTGTGCGGCATGTTTATTCATGGGTAGGATCACGTTTGTGACAGTTTTTTTATAAGTGAAAGGATCATGTAATGGTAACTTTATTATTGTGTAAACATCACAAATCTGACAACTATATAGTAGTGTAAGGATCACGTATGAGACAGTTATATTTTAGTGTAAGGATCACGAATGTGACAGTTATATTTTAGTGTAAGGATCACATATGTGACAGATATATTCAGTGTAAATATAACGCGTGATACCGTGTTCTCGGTGTATTAATAGGAGAAAAAACATAAAACACAAAAATAAATGAACGACTTTCTAGATACACACTTCATATAAACTATGAGTAAACTAGATATTGCCCTCTTTTATTTGGACTCCCGTAGATATCCTCCCCCCCCCCCCCCCCCCCCGACCCCCCTAGCAGCATTGAGCTACTTTACCTATTTATAAAATTAAGAAAACCCCGTCTGGAAATAAAATTTATTTGCCGGTAATTTGACTCGCTACACGATAAATTTATCTGGCAGGTTGTAGGTTCCCGGCGTAGTTTCTGTGATAAATGGGTGATAATTGAGACAAGTCGACGCTACATTTCACCCAGAACTGAGCTCATGGAAAAATGGAACGAAGGGAAGTAACTGAAATAATATCGGTCCATGATGATTCTTCCAAAATCTTGTAAAAAAAAATAGAATTGTAGCTTAAAATCTGAAATATTTCTGCACTTTTAAAAAATGTTACTACTTTTAATCTCGAAATATCATTGAATTTTAAAATTTTGTATAATATTTTTTTAAATGTATTCTCATTTAGGCCTACTTTAATACTTTAGTGTCGTCATAGTAATGGCCAGAAGCTTAAGTTGACACAGCAATTTGATCTTAACTCGACTTACCTTCTTAAGATAACCTTGACTCTACTAACCTACTTAAGATAACCTTAACTCTACTAACCCACTCAAGTCAACCTTAACTCTACTAACATACTGAAGTTAACCTTAACTCTACTAACCTACATAAGTTACCCTTAACTTTTCTAACCTACACTCAAACTACAGCTATGTTGTGTATTGTCGGCTACAGGACATTACCCCCCCGTCAATTACCCCCCCGGACTTTTCCCCCCGTATTTACCCCCCGGAGCAATTACCCCCCTGTCAATTACCCCCCTGTCAATTACCCCCCTATGTAATTACCCCCCTCCCCCAAACTATATATATATAATATATATAACAAAATCTAAATGTACAAACATGAATAAAGGTTAAAATAAGCAACATAAAATATAAATTTTTGAATTTTTATTTTCTGAAATAAAAAAAAAACAAAAGGAAAACTTACAAACATTAAAAAATATATACAACAAAATCTACAAAAGGAAAACTTACAAACATTAAAAAATATATACAACAAAATCTACAAAAGGAAAACTTACAAACATTAAAAAATATATACAACAAAATCTACAAAAGGAAAATTAGAATTATATGTACTTCAAAAGTTAAAACCGACTGGACATAAAAAGACAACGTCAAAAGACAAACCGACGGACATCAAACGCGGCAACACATTTAGGGTGTAGCAAATTTCATTCGTCTGCCACACAAGTCCACTCCCCACACGTGGTGCCTTCCAAAATTAGAATTATATGTACTTCAAAAGTTAAAACCGACTGGACATAAAAAGACAACGTCAAAAGACAAACCGACGGACATCAAGCGCGGCAACACATTAAGGGTGTAGCAAATTTCATTCGTCTGCCACACAAGTCCACTCCCCACACATGGTGCCTTCCAAAATTAGAACTATATGTACTTCAAAAGTTAAAACCGACTGGACATAAAAAGACTACATAAAGAGCGGCACCACATTTACATTTTCTTACATTTTCGTCATTAGCTTTTAAAATCCACTCCTTCACAATAAATCAAGTGATAAAAAGCCCACATAAGCAGTGACATTCTCAATCTCCTATACATATTATGATATTAAGTTGACCGTGGTGAGGGGGGGGGGGGGGGGTAATATCCTACTGTTGTTTTTTGGGCGGGGGGGGTAATGTCTGGGGGGGTAATTGACAGGGGGGTAATTGCTCCGGGGGGGGTAAATACGGGGGGGAAATGTCCGGGGGGTAATTGACGGGGGGGTAATGTCCTGTTCCCGTATTGTCAACCCCAGCTTGACCAATACAAAAACTATCAGAAACTTCAGCATAGCCATCTGACCACCAACCCCCACAACCCCCACTGATTACCTCAATGTTTTACGCCATCTTGCACGCTACCACTTAATTGACAGTAATTGTCACTTGTCTAGCAAAGAACCGTGTTATTCCGGCAAAGAACCGTATTATTCCGGCACAACTTGAAGAGGACGACGCCTCCCCAGTGCCGTTAGCTCAGGGCCTGGGATTTTGTCTTCTGGAAACGTCCTTGACCCCTGAGAGCCAGTGCTGGTCAGTGGCTGGAGGTCGCCACAGACTTAAAACATGGTTAGGTCATTCTTTAAGCTGACCGGGACGTTTTTTCTAGGTTTATCAAGGACAATTATCTTGTCCCAATAGAGACATTTTTTCTTTGTCTAATAGGGACATTTTTTCTTTGTCCAATATGGACATTTTTTTGGCCAATAGAGACTTTTTTGGCAAGTAGGGACATTTTTAGTTGGCCAAAAGAGACATTTTTTTGGCCAATCGATACGTTTTTTCTTTGGCCAATATGGAAATTTTTTTGGCCAATAGAGACCTTTTTTTGGCCAGTAGGGACATTTTTAGTTGGCCAAAAGAGACATTTTTTTGGCCAATCGATACGTTTTTTCTTTGGCCAATATGGAAAATTTTTTGGCCAATAGAGACATTTTTTTGGCCAGTAGGGACATTTTTATTTGGCCGAAATAGACATCTTTTTTTCTTCGGCCAATCGAGACGTTTTTTTTTCTATGGCCAACAGGGACATCTTTTCTTTGGCTCAAAGCGACATCTTTTCTTTGGCTAAATGGGACATTTTATTACTTGCTGGAATAAACCTTTGGCTGGCGGTGAAATTTTTTTTTCTTTGCCTTGGGTTATGTGTTATTATTTGCCTGCGGGGGGGGGGGGTCATTCTTTGCCTGGCTGATTACTTTTTCTTTAGCTTACGAGCCCGATTTTTGGACATTTTTTGAGCTTATTGGGACATTTTCTTTCTTTTGCATGCAGGAACACTTTTTGTTTGTCTTTCTTCCGTGGACATTTAGTTTTGCTTCTAATGAATTTTATCATTGGATAACTGCACGTATTTACTTTATTTTTCCCACGTTTTCTTTAACTTGCTTTCTCTGTGTCTTTCTGTGTTTGTTTGTCTTTCCAATCAAATCTTGCGATCGAAATTTCTGGCACTTCTCAGTTAGCTAGCGCGCTGAAATTTTCAGGGAAGCTTTCTTTTGGATGACCATAGAATATGCAATTGTTATTATTACTAAATTGATCAATGGAAACATTTTATTGAGCATTTTAGACCGCTATATAATCTATATATATAATTCTCCTCTGCAAGCCATTAGAAAAAAACCAGCGACGCGTAGCTAGCCTCTCTCTTGCCGCGCGCAGTGAAGCGAACGATCCCACTTCGCAACAGGCTTAGGGGCAGATAATTTAGTTTTAACCGACTTTAAAGTTACAGGAGATAACTATTACCACTGGTGGCCAGTTTGGGGGAGACGATATAGTCGAGTGGTTGGGCACACGATTGCTATCCCACTCGACACGGGTTCAAATCTATGTGTTCTAGTCAGTAACGTATTCACACAACGTGTTTTTTACGAGTTGTCTTTTTACGAGTTGTCTTCGTTTACCCAAAAAAAAGTGAAAAAGATAAAATCGGTAGCAAGATTTTAATGCAAACAAACAGACAAACACTAAAAAGTAGAAAATAATAATCATTAAAAAAGTTTTAAAAAACCCACGTTTTCTGATTGAACTAAAAAGTAGAAAATAAATACTATACATCACAATAATGCAAGCGATCACTCTACTATAAGCGATCAAAAACGTGGGGCGCCGTGATTTTCTTACAGTTTCTAATACTGTTGACTCTCTACAAGCTCCCTAATAAAAGTCAATAGTATTATCTAATCAATAGTAATCTAACTTTTACTTCGGCGACCCACGTTTTTGATCGCTTATAGTAGAGTGATCGCTTGCATTATTGTGATGTATAGTATTTATTTTCTACTTTTTAGTTCAATCAGAAAACGTGGGTTTTTTAAAACTTTTTTAATGATTATTATTTACGTTGGCTTTAGTTCAATATTTTTTTTGTATTTGACTCTTAAAAAGGTATCATCCGATTATGTATGTTTTAACAGATCTTGGACAAAGATGAATTCCTGAGCATCTAAACTGACAATGGGGTGGTGGTGGTGGGGGGGTATCGTGACCTCCATCGAGGTCACAGCTAATCGCTAATCACGGCTATTCTTTTCACCTCCCAGCTCTATGTTGAGTGAATTTCACGCTGAAATTGTTTCTCTCATCACATTAGCTTCTTAGCTTTTGCCTAATTTTTCACTTTACATTTTCAGTTTAACATTTCAATTTTGGACTGACATTGTAGTTTAACAGTTTGTTTTTGGGATGACAGAGTAGTTTAACATTTCAATTTTGGACTGACAGTGTGAGTTGGGGGAGGGGGTTTCAATAAACTATAAAAAATATATATTCAAAGTAAATAAGTTCAATCAAATCTCTTTTTATTTATAAAGGTTACCTACGCTAGCTTCATCTCTCT